CACGGCCTGCTCCTTACGCAACCTATTTCCGATGTCTGTCCTTGCGCCACATATTTCCGCTGTCTGCCGTACCGGAGCGACGCGCATGGAAACGTCGCCCACGCCGCACGGCAACACCGAGCGAACGGCCGAACGGCACACCGAGCGATGGAGCCGTGCGTCCGACACCAGACAGCTCGAGACACCACGATCATAGCAAATAGCCCCGAGAGGAGGAGGAGGAGGAGGAGGAGGAGGACGAGGATGAGGAGGAGGAGGAGGAGGAGGAGGAGGAGGAGGAGGAGGAGGAGGAGGAGGAGGAGGAGGAGGAGGGAGGAGGGGGATGGGGGAGGGGGAGGGAGGCTTCCAGCGGCGAGGGCCCCCCGCCAGGCGGCGCGGCGCCTGCAACCTCCGCAGCCACCGCCGCAAGGGGGGGCGCCAGGAGCCTGCCCTGCCCACACTTGCGATACACACATACATATACATTGGTGGTCTCCAAACCAGGTGGTGAGACACCCGGTAGTGACCCCGTTTCCCCAAAGAAATAATTTTGGGTCACCACCGGGTTTGGGGACACGCGGTCGCCACGAGGTTTTGTGTTTCCTGGGCCAGCCAGCGCTCGAAAACCATTACCCAAATCGCCCAAAACTCACCACCGGGTGTTCTCACCACCACGTTTGGGGACCACCAAATACAGATGAGCAGATGTGTATATATATGTATATTTATACACACATACATAGATACTAGAATAACGCGCGCGCGCTTCGCTCGCGCTTAGGTTCTAGTCTATGTCTTCCTTGTTGCGTTCGTCCGAGACAAACAGTCTTGAAAACCGCGCAGACTATGGAACATTCAATGATGCTTGCCTTTTGGAGCTTTCTTGGGGGAGTCTCTTGGGGACATCCTGACGTGTCTTGGAGGCGTCTTGAAACGTTTTGGTACCATCTTGGGCGTCTTGGAGCAAGTTTGGTTGTATCGGGGGCCTCCTGGGAGCATCGGGCAGCTCTTGGGAGGCGTTGCGAGGCCGCCGGGAACCCCGGCAACCCCAAGGAGGAATGGGCCTGCCACCCCCCAGGCCCTGGAACGCGGCGTATATATATATATATATATATATATAAAATACACATATATATACATATAAGTATATACAAATATATGTGTATACATATATATATATATACATATATATATATATATATATATATATATATATATATATTCATATATATATATGTATGTATACACATATACTTGTATATATGTACACGCCCAAGACTGCCCAAGGTGGCCCCAAGAAGGTCCAAGAAGGCTCCGAGACGTCCCAAGAGGCCTCCAAGCGCACTCCCAAGAGGATCCCAAGAGACCACATTCGTTACACTCCTGTCGGCGAAACGTACATTTTAAGCATATACGATTTGGGGGCCTTCACAGCTTTGAAGACGGCCAAAGAGGCCCCCAAGACTTCCCCAAGCGAACCGAAGAGGATCCCAAGAGGCCCCTAAGATAGCCCAAGAGGGCGCCAAGACGGCCCAAGGGCCGACTAAGACGGCTCCAGGGCCGACTAAGACGGCTCCAGGAGGGGTCCAAGAGGGGAACTCCGACTCGAAAGTTGCAGCCTTCCGCCCAAAGATGCTCCCAGGAGGCCCCAAAAGTCCCCAAGAGGCCCCAAGAGGTCCCCAAGAGACCCCCAAGCAGCCCAAACGAGGCCCCAAGATCGCTCAAAACGGATAGGACGGCTTCCAAGAGGTCTCCCAAAGGGGTCCGGAAAGGTCTTCCTGCGGATCGAGGCCCGAGCGAGACCGGGACTGCACCGGGACTTATCCTCTCACATTGTCGCGCCGACGGCCAAAAGCCGAGTCTCACCGACCCATCGTTCCCGGCTCCATCCCCCCCCCCTTTCCCTCCTCTTCCTCCTACTCCCTCCTCCTTCTCCTCCTTCTCCTCCTCCTCCTCTTCGTTCCCCCTTTTCCTTCTCCTCCTCCTCCTCCTCCTCCTCTTCCTCCTCCTCTTCCTCCTCCAACTCCTCCTCCCCCTCCCCCTCCTCTTCCTCCTCCTCCCTTCTCCCCTCCTCCCTCCTCCTCCTCCTCCTCCTCCTCCTCCTCCTCCTCCTCCTCCTCCTCCTCCTCCCTTCTCCTCCTCTTTCTTCTCCTCCTCCTCCTCCTCGTCGTCGTCGTCGTCGTCGTCGTCCTCCTTCTTCTCCTCCTCCTCACTCCTCTTCCTCCTCCTCCTCCTCGTCCTCGTTATCCTCCTCCTCCTTCTCCTCCTCCTCCTCCTCACGCCTCCTCCTCCGTCGGTGGTGCGCCTGCCATCCGTTGCCGCCGCCGCGCCATCTGGGGGCCCTCGACGGGCCCCAGGACCGTCACAAAATGTCTAGGATGCCTGGGCCATTCCGACGTCCTCCACAGTTTGGCTGCTACAGTATTTGGGTGCTTTGCTGGGGTAATGGCTTCTCGGTGGTGTCTGAGGGGGCTCTCGCAAAGTCGCATACGACAAACATCTACGTTATCCCAAAGGAATGTAACGATTGTGGCTTCTTGGGGCCCTGCTGGAGTGCTCTTGGAGGCCTCTTGGGACGCCTCGGAGCCTTCTTGGACCGTCTTGGGGCCATCTTGGGCCGTCTTGGGCGACTCGGGGCCTTCTTGGGCCGTCTTGGGCGCCGTTTTAGGGCCAACTTGGCCGTTTTAGGTGGCCCTTGGGCCGTCTTGGCGCCCTCTCGGGCTGGCTCGGGGGCCTCTTGGGAACGTCTTGGGCTGTCTTGGGGGAGTCTTGGGAGCCTCTTGGACCGTCTTGAAAGCGGCGAAAGCTGAAAAGTCACACATGCTAAAAATGTACGTTGCCCCTCAGGAATTTAATGATTTGGGCCTCTTGGGTCCCTCTTGGGAGTGCGCTGGGAGTCCTCCTGGAACGTATTGGGCAGCTCGGGATCTTCTTGCACTGTCTCGGGGGCCTCTTGGAACCCTCTTGGCTCGTTTTGGCCCCCCTATGTTGGCCTCTCTGGGCCACCTCTGGGGAGCGAAACGGGGGGGTATCAGCGGGCTTCCCCCGATGGCTGCGGGGTGGGCCGGCCCAGGCCGGAAGGGGAACCAATGTTCGGGCGTTGGCAGAACCGGGTTTAGTGGGACCTGGTTTAGTGATGTGTACTGGGAGACACTCCCCCCGCCCCGTTCCACTGACCGGAACTGCCGCAACCCGAAGAAGCACCAACTACGGCAAACCTGGTTTAGCGATTCTGGCCAATTCAGGGGCCTACCACTAACTGGGTCCCCTTAACTGGGGTCCTGGCCATACCCGATATTTACTTCTATGACGTAACCATCAGGGGCGAACGGGCCCGTGCGGGCACAGCGGGCGTGAAGGCCGGGGGTGGGAAGGCGGGGTGGGCCGGGTGGAGCTAGTTGACCGATCCGGCCCGGGCGGACAATGCGACAACTTGGGGTCGCTTTTTTTGGAGATTCTGAGAGATTTGAAAGTTCGTTTTGAGAACCAATATTTTTCTCACGAGTAGTGGGTTATGCCGCGTCCGCCTGTCAAATTCTCAGGCCCGCAGCTGCAATCCATTACTATCAAAAGACGTAAGGGAACTGACTTCGCGCCTCCTGGCCTCCTCACCGTGAAACAGTGCCATGACCGGTCTGGTCTCGTTGCTGTGCTCCTCCCCGGGCAACGACTTACGTGTCTTTTTTGCTCCCAGACATGCGACGTCCTGATTTTTTCAGGACGGCGCCCCTGGAAATCTAGACCCTTTCCCTGGGGCCGGTTTTTCGTCCCGAGTCGTGTTTTGACGGTCCCGAGGCCCGGCGAGGGCCCCCAGGGGCCGAAAATAGTGAAAAACCTCCCGTCCTGATTTTTTTACGACGCCATCATGTCTGGGCTTCGGTTCCCTGAAGCAGTGGATGGGCGCCTCGTGGGCGCCTCGGGCCGGCCAAGGCTGCGCCTGGTGCCCGCCCGTGCGTGCCTCGGGGGCGCCTCGTGTGCTGGGTGGGTCCGCCGATGTCGCCCGGGGCCCACCCGTGGGCTCCGCGTGGGCGCCTTGTGCGCTGGGCGGCCGCACAGATTGCACCACTGAGCTCTTACCACAGCGAGTGCACCACACAGAGGAGGAGGAGGAGGAGGTGGAGGAGGAGGAGGAGGAGGAGGAGGAGGAGGAGGAGGAGGAGGCTTCCACCACACCGCGAGCGCATCCACAATGATAACCCACTGCGTTCGGAGCCGCGCCGGCACGCCTCTGGGCTATGAGTGCCCGCCGGCAGATGCTGCTTCGGAAGGCGCGTCGAGTGCCTCCTCCCTCCTCCGTGTTCCGTCCGTCTCCCTCTTCCCTCCTCCTCCCTCCTCCCTCCTCTGACGCTCCCGCCTCCCTCCTCCCCCTCCCCCCGCCCCCTCCCTCTCTTCATCCGCCATCGGGAGGAGGGACGCGAGGGGGGGGGGGAGAAAAGGCATCCCCGTCAGAAGGAGCGCTTGTTTGAGGACTCATCTGGTACTGCGCCAATCTGCTGGCTTATCGATCGGTTTACCTCAAGCCTTCTTGTGCCGCAATAGAGGGGCGATGATTTTACCCAGAAATTGCACCCCGACTCGCATGGTATAATGAAACGGGAACTCGTGGGTGCAACTGGCAACCAACGCTTTCCAAGCAAGGGGGTCCCGCCCCCAGGGGGTAGAGAGGGATTGGTGTGGGGGACAATGGGGGAGGAGGAGGGTGGGCTGGCAGAGGCGGCGGGAGGGAGACTTGGACTACAACGGTGGCCTGCCTTCGAAGAGGCACGTCCAAGAAAATTAGAAAGAAGCAGGAAGAGAAGGCGACCGACGCTCCACAGTGCAATGGAGCCAGGCTCGGGGAGGAGCAAAACAGACGCTGCACATTACACAATTTCGCCGCTGAATTGCGTGCGCCGTGACAGTCTCCCCAACAGAAGCCGAGCACTATGGGACCCCCGGCAAGACTAGGAGACACAACCGCAGTGCCCCCCAGCTCATCATATAGCCGCGTCAGTGCTGGCAACACAGGTTCTGCAGACTGTTTACTCGTGGGGGTCCAGTCCCTGCCTCAAATTACCAGAGCTGTACTTGGCGGTGGTGAATTTGGGGCGCCTGTGGCACAGCCAGTGAAGGTGTTCCACGTCTGTGGACACAAAACTTGCACAAAACGTAAATACTGGCGGTGCCCATGACTATATGGCCGAACCCACGGAGGACCGGACACGGGACCCTATACAGCTCACATGTGCAATAGCTTGAGGCCCGGCAGGCTGTGCACCTGAAGCGTTGCACATAATGATCCCATGACAACTCACGTGGGACTCCCGAAGGCGGCGACTCCCCTCTCAGGCCGCCCATGGGGATTGTTGGACCCCCAGCGGTTGTTGAACAACCGATGGGGGTTCTTAACAAGGAGGGAGGACGACTCGGGCACGGCGAGGGCTTTCATGCAGGCGCGGCAAAGCACGAGACATTCCACACCCGATGTATTTGCCGATACGATCTACTACAATACGCGATTTACTCAGTGTTCCGTTGCCGATAGATCAACAGGATGGCGCCGAGCACCATCGTTAACCAAGCGGCCTGAGAGGAGAAGAGACATTAGGTAAGCCAGGGGCGGGAGGGAGAGCGGGGGAAAAAAAGGAGACGAGTGATGGATGAAGGAGGGGAGGCGGGGAGGGGGGAGAAGGGTGGAGGAACGAATGTGGGGTGAGGGTGAAGGCATGGATGGGGTGAGGGAGATGGGGGGGGGGGCGAACGAGGAGCGGGGAATGAGCGAGGAGGGAGGAAGGAACGAGCGAGGGAGGGGGGGCGAGGGAGGATGGGTAAGAGACAAGGGTGACATTGTAGGGAGGGGAGGGGACCAAACGAGTGAGGGAGGGAGAAGGGCTGCCGTCCGGGTTTGCGTTTCCCATAATTCAGCGATTTGAAAAGGGCGAATGATGGGTAACGCGATCCTGGACGACTGCCCCCGGCACAAATTGCACAGGAAACGCGACTTTCCGAGAATTCGAATTCTGAATTACGGGGAACGCAATTTTCCACAAAAAGCCGCACTCAATGAGCCACAATCGCGTTTCCCATGCTTCTGAATTATGAGAAACGCGATTGTGGCTCATTGGGTGCTTTATTTATAACAGATAAAAAATACAAAATAAAAAAAAACTCGTTTCCCATAACTCGGAACTCCGAAAATTCGGATTCTGAATTATGGGAAACGCAACGTTCGTCAAAAAACCGCACTCAATGAACCACAATCGCATTTCCCATACTTCGGAACTGAAGCTCCTCGACCGTGAGGTCACCGTTGATCGCGTTCAAAGTCGCCATTCGAGCACCGACAGATCGCACGCCGTCTCCGGGCGTTGCTTGACCTCACGAGCCGAGGCTAGCCGCTGCTGCCAACATCGCCCCAAACAATCACACCAACCGTCTCCTTGAACATCAACCCAGGCAATCGCACCAACCGTCTCATTGGCGTTTTTCTCCGTGGCGATCTCGCTGTCCTGCCGTCAGGCCTCATGGCGCCAACCCACGGTCCGTCTTCGGCTTGGGCACCCGAGTTATCCGGGGTAACTCGGGCCCGGGGTAACTCGGGCTTGGATTCCCGAAAAACGAACCCGAGTTAGCCCTGACCCGAGTTACCCCTGATGATTCGGGTCTCTGATCGGCCGTGGCGGGGCAAAGGCGTCGAGCGAAGCGAAACCGATACTACCCACTCTCCTTCCGATTGGCGAGTGCTTGGCCGAGGGTCTGGAGGGCGCCGCCATGCACTCTGGGCATCGCACACGATGAGGGCCCCGCGGGCTCCGCTGCCACCGTGGGTGCACATTTGAAGGGGCCCTGTGACACACAAATAAGTACACATAAACAACAGGATCCCCTGTATTTTCCTACATGTTCTGGGTGTTTGTCTTCCCCCAGTTTCCCATATTTTCCCATAGTTTCTGGGGAGTCGACGATCAATTGTGTCTGTGTTTTTTCCCTCCTGAACATTGCCGTATCATCGTAAGGGCGTTCAGGAAGCTCCTGCGAACGGGGGGCGCGGATGCAATGCCTGCGCCATCACAGATCAGACTCGCGCGCAGGTCGGCGACCCAGCAGCCCTGTGGTTTTCCGGAGGCGGCCACGAGCAGTGAAGCACATCACCGGCAGCAGCAACCATGGGGACTGATCTGCACGATGGACCCAGACCCCCGACGTCATGAATTTTTCATGACGTCGACCCCCAGCGGTCTGGACCCATTCCCCGGGACCGGTTTTTCGTCCTGATTCGTTTTTTGACGGTCCCGAGGTCCGGTAAGGGCCCCCGGAGGCCAAAAATAATGAAAAACCTACCGTCGTGATTTTTTCATGACTCGAGGGGGTCTGGGGAGAGGGGCCCCGGTGGAAACGTGCCCGCGACCCTGGAGCGTCCCGTGCCCTCCTGGGCCACCTCTGCCGGCCCCCCATGGGGGGCCACGGGAGCCCGACCACGGCGAGAAGGCCTCGGGACTCCCTGCCTCCAGGGACCCCCCCCTCCCTCCTCCTCCTCCTCCTCCTCCTCCTCCTCCTCCTCCTCCTCCTCCTCCTCCTCCTCCTCCTCTTTCTCCTCCTTCTTCTCCTCCTCGTCCCTTTCACGCGCGGAGCTTGCCGTCGCTCGGACGCCCATTTCCCGTGCACTTGTCGGTTTCGTGCGTGTGGTTTTGTTGCTCGATGGTCCAGGGTGGTCCTCGATGGCTCGCGCCGCGAAAACATGCACACGTCCGAGCGATGCCAAGCGAGGGGGGGCGGGGATGCGAAGAGGGAGCCCCTCGGCCAGCACGGGGGCGCCTGCGGAGCGACCGCGGGGGGCGGCGGCGGCGGCGCGGCGGGCGCGGGCGCGGCGCAGAGGTGGGGGCCTGCGCGGCAGGAGGGGCGCCGCCGCGGGCGCGGCGGGCGGGGTGCTCGGTCGGCGCGGAGGTCAGCGGGCAGGGAAGGGGGAAGGGCGAAGGGGTGGGGGGGGCGGTGGCGGACGCAGCGCTGGTCGATGAGACGGCTGCGGCGGATCGCTCGGGGCCGTTGCCCTGAGCGGGAATCTGAGCCAGTCTTAAGTCGGGCGTGTCCCCCTACAGAGGGATTTTCGACTAACCATAAAAATACAAAAAATGCCCCCGAATGGTCGACAAATGCCCCGAAAATAGTTCCCAGACTATTTTTTTACTATTTCTGAATATTCCCCCTGTAGAGGGACAGGCCCGACTTAAAGCCAGTCTCCAACGCAGTCTTCAAAGTGAGGTCGCTCGCAGCCAAGGGAGCTGTTCGCAAGAGGTGCCTGCGGCGGGCTTCGGCCTTCTTCGCTCGGGGGGGGTGGGGGAAGGTGAAGGGGGCAGGAAGAGAGAGGAAGCTGGAGAGCACAAGGGGCTGGGAGGGGGGCGAGGGAGGGTGCGGAGAGGAAAGGGGTTGAGGGAGAGGAGGGGGAGAGGGGGGGACGGGGATGCGGAGGAGGATGGGGGTGGAGAAGGGGAAGGGAGGGGGGATGGGAGGAGGGGGAAACCAGGAGGGGGAGCCCAGAAGGAGAGCTCAGAATGGGGGGGTGGAAAGCCGTGCTGGGAGCGGGAAGCCTGCTGCCTGCTGGCAGACAGGGATGGGCACTTGGGCCTTCAAATACGCCGGCCTTCCAACTTGATGGGGGAGCGGTTGCGCGCTATCTCGGATCACGATTACCGTGCGGATGTGCCAGCGGCTACCCATCCCTACCGGCAATGTCCAAATGTCTTTGAAGTAATTCGCTTGTGGGAGCGCGATCAGGAAGCAATGCCAAACACATGGGGCACACATGCAACACTTAGAATTCGACAAACTTCGACGTGCCTCTTTCCCCTGTGCGAGGGGTGACACCATTTCGGCAACGTTGCCCCGCTCTAAGTCTTGGTGCACGCACTCACGCACACGTCCGAAAGCATGAGGCGCACACAAAGTAGTACACATCGATGGCAAGCTCATTGGTCCTGAAGCGCTCAACCTAGTGGCAGCACATCAAGCATAATCACTACCAACACAACGCATAAACGCACATCGAAGAGAACTGAACATCCCAAAAGCCAATCCAAAACATGAACCGACGGCACATATAAGCAACGGCACACAATATGACATAGTGCGACACGGCGGAGTGAAACATTCCGCGCTGTTGAACACCAACCACTCTGTGAAAACGTTGAGCGACATCGCGCAAACACCGGACATTGAGCCCGCTTCCGTGCGAATGAAACAAGCGCACCTGCCGTAACCACGAAATTGCCTAATATTGTGCCGCGCGCACCGAAACCGTGCATCCTCGATACACACACACACACACCTCACCACGAGCTGCCACCACGGTTCACGTCCAATGTGTGCACCTTATGGCGCGTACCCCGCGCAGCCCGACCACTCACCCTGACGACTACTACGTGTAGCTCAACCCAGAGCATTACAAACAATTCTGGGAGTCGCGCGGGTCCAGCCAGGAATCATGGCTCGACTGACGACGAACAACGCAAAAATTATGTGGAGTGGCAATGTGTGACGCTATGTCGGAGGACTCCTCAAGAACTTGCCGGCTGGCTGGAGATTTGCCGCAGAACAACTGTTAAGGCATGTTCTGGTTGCCGTCGTATGCGAATGCGTTCTGAAATGCGCGGGCCGTACAAACACCGAGCGGCCGAAGGGGCAACCAACTCGCGGGAACAACACCAGCAGCCAGATCAGCACCGTGCTTGTTTTAGTGGGAAGCTAGGCGAGGTGCAGAAAGAGACAGGGCCCTCACGCAGATGCGCAGCGGGGGTGCGG